TTGGCATACCACAAGCAGAGTCAGCTCTGAGGCTTCAATAAAGCCTAGTGGAAACACCTTGGGACAAACAGTTGAGGACCAAAACTCAATTTCTCGTGTCTTTCAGCATATTGCTGGGGATTGAGCTCAGATAATCTCCATCTACTGTACAAAAACAGGCAAGCCTGGAACAATCCCATCAAAACCGGAAAGAAAATTACTAAGTCAAAGATATTATATTTAACTTCCTGAAAAGCTGTGGTGAGACAGAGGTAGAATTTTGCTAAAATGGACTGAAAAGAAAGCTTTGGTAATTCAGAAAGACTGTAGAATGAGCCTGGATCTAAATCCAAAGATCCCGAGCAGCAGTATTAATACAGTAGGGCTTCATTGTTTTGTTTACTGCTTCATAAACACCTGCTGAGTGAATATTTATTTTGTATAGAAATAGACTGCAAAACTTGTCCTTCTGCATTCAATAAGTTACCTCTAACATTTGTCACCAAAAAGATAGACTGTAAATCCAGAATATAAACCCTGAGAATGGCTGTGCTTATATTCTGAAAAAATCTGAGAGGGTTAAGTTCAGGAAACAGAAAATTGAACTGCCTACTCCAGCTACCAGAATAATTTTCTTGATAACATCAGTATGACAGAAATACACGCAGAGATGCTTTCACCAGGTGCAGTGGCTGCTTATGAAGAGAAATTTCAGGGCACACAGAGGCCCTCAGACATAAGATCCTGAAGAGAATGCAGGATGGAAAACTTTATTATGTCCCTACAGAGAGAGAGAGACAGGAACCTTTTCCTTTCTCCAAAAGTACTTACAGGGGGTGTGTAACATAAACTTGACCCTGATTTTCAAAGTCTCTCCCCTTGGACTGACTACACATATCTACACACGATGAATGATGCAGAGGGTGTGGGACTGTGAGTAAAATACATCCTTGACATGTGATTTGAGACTTGAATCTGAGAAACCTGACAAAAAATCCATGATAATTTTGCTTGTTCTATTGTGTTGCTAAACTATGTAATAGAATTGCTGATTTTTAATTAATCTTCTGTAACATATGGTTTTAGCTTTCTATATACTAGTGTCCTATAGGTGATAATTAAAAGATAATCAATAATCCAGCTCCTTGATAAAACTTTTCTACATTTCAGATATACCTCCCGTGCCATAAACTTCTGGGTTTTTTTCCTTTTTATGTCAATTAAAACTGGTTATACCTTATGGCAATAGCTTTCCTGCTGCCATTTTAGTTAGTCACTTATCTTGAACCAAGAGTTAAATTAACTTCCCTGTTAAGTCAATAGTGCCTATTACCAATAAAACCAGTAGATATTCCTGCTTTAGACTGAGTGATCTGAACCTATACAATCCATCTTCTAACCAAGTTTTTAAGTATAGCCTGCATTCTAATATTCTGTACTTACTTACCCCATGGACCCATTTCCTACATAATTTCATACAAAATATCCTCTTTCTTCTTTTTACAAACAGAGAAATTATTGGTTGCATAATAAAGTAATAGTAGTTTTGATACAACAGGCAGTCAGTTTGGGAGATTGGATGTAGCTGACATTTGAGCCCTTAAAACTAGCTATTGTATGTAATATATTTTTTATTCTTTCTGGATCCAGACTAAATTTTATTGATTTTCAATGGGGAAATTGTGCTTAAAAAAATTTTCTGTTATGAACCAAAAGTGAGTGATGACAAGATTTTTTTTTTTTGCTTGATTGTGGAGAGGAAGATAGGGAAAATTAGGCATTAAAACCCAGTAATTAGGCAGTTAAGTGACAGTACAAAATCTGTTAAACATGCTGTAAAATTAATTAAAAATTTCAAGACCATTCCAGGGAAATTCTAAGCAGCAATTAGGACTTAATTTTTGCAGTGTTGAAAAGAGTTAGAACTGGTTTTCAAATCAGGCAAATTATCAGGGGAAAGCACTGTCACTGGTGCTTGGAGAAGGTGCAGGAGTCTTGCCTATGAAGGGAGGCCATCTCCTGAGAGGGACTCAGAGATGAGCTGCTCCCATCCCTCTCCCTAGCTACAGGAGTGCCAGCACTAACCAGTGGCACTGAGGCTCCTTGCTGCCTGCTGGGGGACACAGTCAGCCTCCGGCTAATTTAGCTGGAAATGCTCTCTGCATGGTTTCATTGAGCCTGTGCTCCCTCCCCTGTCCTGCACCTCCATGCACTGGATTTTCCCACAGTGACAAAACAGACCCAGTAAAGTCACTAAACCGAGGTGTGATGACTCTGCTGCTCGCCCAGCAGAATTAGCTACAGCTGCAGGGCATGATAAGGGTTGAAGTGTGAGGCTCCAGAGGGATGGCAATAAGAGGTAGATTTCAAAAGGTGTCAGGATGGGGCAGCTACTCACCACCTACACCCCTGGCTCTGAGAAATCCTTCAGAGAGAGCCTGCTGGGCCCTGCACACAAAAGGGTGCCTGAGGAAATCCTGTGAAAGAAACCTGTGCCACTCCTCAGGGCAAAAAGACAGACTGATATTTTGTAAGAGTAGGTCACTCTCAGACCTGTTCTGCTGGCACAGCTGGGCAGACAATTCACTGTGCAAAAAAAAAAAAAAAAGAGGGAATGCCTTTAGGATTTGGAATGGGAACAACATAAAACAGGGATACTGAGGAAGATGTGTAGCAAAACATCTTCAACTCTGATTTCTCCCCTCAAAACAGCATCACTTGCATATAACGACTAAACTGTTTTACTTTACAGCCAAATATTGGGATCTCAAGCCCATTTTCCAATGACTGTCAGAGAGGTGATTTTTTCCAGATAGAGAAATCTGATAATGTTTGAAAATATCCACTTTCAAAATTAAGTGATGGAAATTTATTTGAGCTGGTTTCCTAGATCGTGTCAGCTTTCAGATCCAGAAATTTTCACAGACTTCCAAACTCCATATTCACTTTCTCTGCTTTCTCTGTATACATGTAGGGAGATTAAAATAGTGCATGTTGAATTAGGCAGGGATTTCTCAACCAGTGACATTAAGATCAGGAACATATGTGGTGTAGATGCACTGTGAGATGACCAGCTGTGCTCTCAGTCTGTTCAATCTGTTAAGAGGAGTAAACCTTGAGCTTTAGGCATTCTTGGGTACAGGTTGTGATGTAATAAGAAATGTGGAAAAAAATGAAATATGAAATTGGATAATGTATTTAATTTACTGTGCTAATAGGCAGCAGTCTACTTATGATGTTGCCAAACAAGCATATTTAATATTTTGCTATGGTGAGTTATTCTGGTGGTAAATTGATTTTCAGAGAACTGGAGGGGAAACTAAAATTTAGAACTCAGAATGTACTGCTCTTTATAATTTTTAAGGCAAACTAGATATTTAGAAATGTGTCAGAACAGACAAACTTGTTTTATTTTTCCATAAGAAGCCATGCCAGTTTTCCTCCTTTCTTTTTCTTAAGCAGATTACTGTGATCACCATTCTTGCCAATAATCAGACTCATTGGAATATTTTTCAAACATGAACAAAAATATTGGATGCAAGCAGGTGGAATGAATTAATTATAAGCATATGGTTCTAACATAATTTCTACAGAGTACTGTTGAGACTTCTAAGGGTCTAGCTATACAACACACTGTGGTAACAAAGCTGCTTTAAGAGATTATCCGTGACATGAATGTAAATGTTTGTGGAGCCAGACTCACTGACAGGCTGAACGCTCTGCCACACACACATTCCTAGCACAGCTTTCAGCTGTAAGCCATGGCAATGGGGTGGTTTACACTGCTCCCCCTGTTGTGTTAGCAGAGATGAGCGTGGTGTCAAACAAACACTGTAGGCAGGGACAGGGAGCACTGGTGGGGAAATGGTGTTTCCCAGGCCAGTGTCACACAGTGCCTGGTACAGCCACACAATATGTGCTGCAATAGCCCACATCCTCTGTGATTCCTGGTTATGAGTCCTTCTGTGGTAGAGACAACTGTGGTGCTCCTGGCTTGCACTGCTCCTTGACCAATTCCCACTCACCCCTACTGATGCAAGTTATTATTCCCTTTTTCAGTGGAGGAGAGCCCTGAAATAGACAACTGAAAAGCCTGAGTTAGAAAAGATAGCTAGAAAACAATCTTAAAGGAGAAAAAAAAAAAAAGAAAAGCTATCTCAGATCCAAACAGGGGCATCAGCTGGAGGCAAGAAGCAGCAGAGGAAGTGTGGGCTGGCCACCACTGGGATGCCAGCACCAGGCACAGCTCAATGGCACAGTGCAGCAGCAGCTAACTTGCTTTAGACTAGAATAATATTGTGGTTTTATACTCCCCACATTTTCATATTGGAATTCCTGAAGGGTTTTTTGATAGTTAATATAAGATGTAGTCAAACTACAAATATAATGACTTTTCAGGTTTGTAATTCATTATATTGGGTTTTATTTAATTATGCAGAAATGAGATGTGGCACTTTTGAAGATGGCTATGAAGCAGATGAGATCATAAATAGATAAAAATTATTAGATTTTTACAATCCAATCTAATTTCAGATAGGAATTTATTTGTTTAAAAAAGTTTGCTTGTCTTTTCAGTGAATATTTATGATTATCCAAGAGCTCATTTTGACAACCTACTGTAAGATCAGCACTTTGAAATACCAGATCCCCTTCTCAAAGGGCTAAAATACAGCTTCACATGGAAATTAGTTTCTGTAAATATTGCTTTTAAACTCAGACTTTATATTCAGATTAATTTTTTTAATCTCAAGCCCTGCAGAATGGCTCAATATGGCACCTCATAGCTGCCATGGGAAGGCAAGAACAAACATAATGGTAGAAATCAGTGCCAAATATTTTTTTCTTAGCAAATATTGTGATATTAATTATCACAATGATTTAGAGCAAAACAGACAAAAAGTCACCCCGACAACTAACAAAAACCACTGGCTCATGTGCAATCCAGCAGATGGTGCTATGATGCAATAAACTGGTTCAAGAGTGCAAGAAATACACTGCATGCAAACATTTTTCTTCCTTACCTGGTGTTGCTGCTTTCTTGATGGCTGGGTTGGCTGTAGGAGCTTTTGCTGGCTCTTAAAAAAAAAGTAAAAATAAAAGAAACCCTTTATTACAAAGCATTATATTTTAACAACCCTACAGAAATCTGAGGAAAGGCTTACTGAGGAAGTCTGTAAAAAATTTTTTGAACTGAAGAGTTAAACAAAGAGATTACCTAAAGGGAGAAGGGATGAGTTGTCTTCAATAAACTCAAGGGCAGCAACATAATAACCAGATGAAGGGCTAGTAAGCTCTGGTTGTTAGGCATTGAATCCCTTCTTTCAGCTTTTTCTGCTCACTTGTTCAATATCTATTGGCATGTAGGGGTTTCAGCATGGCCTTGCCCCAGCTGTGTGCTGGGAGCCTCTGCATCTGATTTTGCAGCTAGGAGAGCAGAAGGTCCTGGACCAGCCTCTGGCAGGTGTTGAGGATTCACTTTTGTGAATTCAGCAGTGGTACCTCAGGAGATCCCACAGCCATTCACAGTGGCATCCTAATCTGAAACTGGCCCTGGTTAGAAAAGGTGAAATTGGGCTGTTTTTGCAAAGTACTTCCACTGAGTTTGCTATACCAGGAATCTCCCTCCATCCCAAAGAATGGAGGACCATTAGGAGAATGCCTTCATTTTTGATCCTGCAATTGAAATAATAATTGCTGTATTCTTTCTCAGTCTTTTCATGAAGCATTTGCATTGTACTATCATTGTTTGTAGAGCCTGTCCTTGCAGAATCAAGGTCCTAATGACAAATGGTGTGTGCATCCCCATGTGGATTTGAGGAATCTTAGCCTCATGTAGAAGAACCTAAGTAACCTACTAGATTTATTCGCTCTTTTACTACTTAGTAATTTCTTTTATCCTCAGAAGCTACCAAAACAACCTGTACTTAAACCACAATAGTATAACAAATATCCATAAGCTAAACTTCACCAACAGTCACAAAAGATTTTTTGTATCAACTAGAAGGTTTGTTAAATTAAAATTCACATTTTCATATCTTGAGAAGAAATAACTAATCATTTTAATCACAAGCTGAATTACAGAATGCTAAAAAATGTTAGTTAATCCTGCACATCTGTCACTGTATTATTACAATGAAAAAGAACATGGCTAAATCAGGAATGTAATTTTGAGTCCTTCCCCTCCAGTCTTTTGAGAAGTTCATAAAAGATGCATCAGATTGTCTTGTGAAATGGAATGAAAACAAAATATATTTTGCATGTGCAATGTGGATTGCATTATTTCCATCCATTTAAAAGCCCACAGCTGACAATTATATCCTAACTTAGTTATTATCACAGCATTGTAATTATTTGGGGTGCACACACTTCCTTCAGGCAAATTTGTAGAAGACCTTGAATAAGAATTTACTTAGTATCCCTTTTCTGAGTGCCTATTTTTGCAAAAGAGATCCAACACACATGTTCTACAAATGTCAAATGGACATAACATGAAATAGCAGGACTCTTTCATTTATCCCCTTCTAAGCTCTCAGCTAGAGTATGCTTGATATTGAATTTTTAAAACTTTTTTTCATAACATCTGTGAAAATGAGATAAGGTTTCTTTGTGTTATACAAAGATTTTGATTTTGATTTTAAATATCTGAGAAACAAAAATAATATAAAAATAAAATTAAGGGTATGTTTGACTAAAAATTTATATAATTTATTTAATTTTTGTATAACTTTTTAGTAGCATTGAAATAAAGGTGCCCAAAGTTTAAACTGCCTTTTCAAGCATACCATTTCCAGTTTGCTATTCACAAATTATTTAAGTGTTAATGATTCTGCACCTTTACATGAACTACTTTCAACTGCAAATTTCACTCTGCAAATTTCACTCTGCAAATTTCACTCATGTGATGAAGATGGGAAGTTTTGTTATGACAGCTGCTGTGGAATTCGCCCATGAAAGGAATCACAGAATGGTTTGGGTTGGAAGGGACCTTAAAGATTATCTCGTTCCAAAGCCCCTGCCAGGCAGGGTCACCTTCCATGAGATCAGGTTGCTTAAAGCTCCATGCAGCACGGCCTTGAACACTTCCAGGGAAGGGACACTTCCAGAGAGTTCTCTGTGTAAGCTGTTCCAGCACCTCACCACCGTCACAGTAAAGAATTTCTTTCTAATATCCACTCTAAACCTACTCTCAATTCAAAGCCATTACCTCTTGTCCTGTCATTGCATACCCTTGTGAGAAGTCCCTCTCCAGATCTCCTGTAGGTTCCATTTAGGCACTCGAAGGCTGCTCTGAGGAATTATGTATGCAAATTAATAAGTCCTTTAAGACCTGCTTGAAAACAGGTTCTTATTTTACTAACAGGGCATTACTTGTAGAGTAAGTCTATGAAATGTTTTGTTAGATATTTCTGCAAAATTTGCTTAAGAACCCAAAGTATATATTTTTTTTTCACTGCCAAAAGAAATCTTTTAAGAAATTGCTGCAAAACTGAGGATGGCAGGAGATTGATCTGCCATAGAAGTCACAAAAGTTCATGCATGGAAATGAGAGTCACTACACTCCTTAATTACGAATTTGAATCAGATTTCAAAGCCCCATATTTTTCCTAATTTTTCTTATATACTGTACTATCAGAACAGAATGCTGAGCAGATGAAGCCTTACCAATGATACTGTCTTACTGTCCTTACTGTGTTGAGGCATTGATTGCAAATTTGCAGAAAAGGAAGACATAGCTCTTCTGTTTTAAACAATACCAAGTTCTCAGAGCATTTTTTAGCTATTTTTCCAGAAGAGCACAATTCCCATCTCTCTTCAGCCACAGAAGTTTCTCTGATGAAACCAGAGCTACCCAGACAGGTGGGGTCCTTGTTTGCATTTGTGAAGATAAATTTGGTGTTCCTCAGCATGTTCAACTCTGAGCCTTCTCAGCCAATTTATGAAAATTGCTGCCACTGAGATCACATTCAGCTGAGACCTCAATTTGACATTTCCTCCCCTATGAAAACTTTGTTTCTGAAGACAGTGATAGGAAAGAGGAGAAGGCAAAACTGTCAGTCACAAAGAGGAGTGTGCAGTTAGAGGTAGCATAAGAATGGATTAAGAAAGTAGGAGGCAGCTGAAGTCTAAACATATAATTTTTCAATTATAAACGGTGTAGCTACTTCTTTGTATTTTCAGTAACTTAATAACTATTCTTTTTGGATTAATGAAATGAACTTTTGAAACTGCATGGGATAGAAAAGAGATAGTAGTTTCTTACTTTTGAGTTCTTTGGATACAGCAGCTTCTTTTTTATCTGTAAGAGAAAAAAAACAAACATATGCATAAAAACATAGTAAGAATAAAGGTGGAAAGAAAACCGTAGTGTGTGCTTTAGAGGTGAAACAACTTATTTGCTATAAAGTGAATTGGAATGATACACTGATTAATTCTGCTTCTGTTTGTTCTGTGGTACAGTGGCACTAATAGTACCCCAAGTGTAAATATGGGAAAGCTTGTGTGACCCTGAACACTCTTGTTTAATTTGGGCACAGTAATCTGTGGGGTTTGACACGTGGCTGAGTTACCATGGCTTACATGCAGTGGCTGAGCTATGGATGCTCACCATGTGCATGTGGTCAGGCTGCAGAAACAAGGGAGGATGTGCTCGTGAGGAAAGGCACTCTCTTCCTGCAGTTGTTGACAATCGCACAGCTGAGACCTACTTTAGATGATTTTGTACTTACCATCTATTGAACTTAGAGGAACTCTGCCCTACACATGGTCCATGGAGGAGCAGGCAAAATTCATCCCTGGTTGACTTGAATATAATTAAAATTACTTAGCTGAATCAAAATGCAACATGGCCAAACAATCTACCAGGAAGACTTAACTAGGCTGTTCAATCTAACTTAAGGTTGGATTTTTGGGCAACCTTTGCAGGACTTTTTTTTCTGATGGCCGAGAGATTTGGAATCTTTACTGAGGTGATATAAGTGTGCAGAAATATGCAGAGATAGCTTCTCTCTGTTGTAATTTTTGGTGCTGTTCTACATCAGGGCTTTTAGCTGGGTAAAAAATCACCCATTTTTAGAAACATTCTTGGTGCTTCACATACCTTTTTCACTAGTCTCACCTGTACAACCAAGAAATTACTCATGGAGATCTTGTGAGACAAGAACAAAAGCATGCAGAGAGCAGTGGTAGAAGGTATTCCCCTGGCTGGTTACATGGAAATTAACATCCTCTCTAATTAACTATAGTGTTTCTGGAATGTAGACAGGATAATTCTTATGTCCACAACATATATAAATGATAAATGAATTGTGCTCTTAAACACTAATATAAGGAATACTTCAGGGCAGAAATTGTCAAATTAAATTGCTTGCAAATCCAAGACTATCCCATTACTTCTAATAATACAAAGTTGCTTTTTTTCCCGTTGCTTTCTAAATTGCTGTGAAGAAGTTGATATGAGATAAGGTAATGCAAATGACTGCCAAGTAGTCTAATAATCTTGAAAAATTTGGAAGAAAATATATGTCTGCCTGGGTGATATGTTGCTCTGAATTGAAATATTTCTGGGTTAATCCTCTGCTTCCACTAACTCTCTGTGAAAGCATGTTCTGCAGGCATTACTTCAAAGTATGATAATTACCACATTTAGATGAAATTAATCATGAAGGCAGCTTCCAGCCATGTTATCTGGCTAAGGAGCCTATTGAAGCCTTCAAGAAGTGCCTATTAGTTTCCAGATATGGAAATTTTGAAAGGTATATATTGCAGTGATATGAATCATTTATCAGAATAATCTTCCATTGCTGGAGGTTATAAAAAATAAATAAATTGACACCATCATTTACAATAACAGACTGGATCTAAATAAAGCCTTCAAGTTCTTTATTTCCTTTTTTCATATAAGTTGCCATTTATTAAGACAATATACTTTCATAAATTTCAAACCCATAATTTATTTTGAATGAATCAATGTGTTTTCCCATAATCTGAAATATATCACATATAGTAAATATAGTTTATATCTGGACAAATTTTCCAGTAAGAAAATCTTATAATTTGGGGGGTTTGTGTATTTTTTTTTTGTTTTGTTTTTAAAGTTCAGAAGAATTACCAATACCTGATTCCAATAGCAGATGTTAATATGAAGATGCAAATAGTGTTAGGATATTCTTTTCAAGCCAAGGTGTCTCACATTTGATTTGTAAAGTCATATTTAACCAACTAGGATGGAGTGATTTACAGAAAATTGTCCGGAGGAGGTTGTGTAGGACCTTGAACCATGGAAGTACCTTTGAAGGTATATAGCATTTACATCTACACATGTCAATGAAAATTAGTTGCAAAGAAATTAACAACTGGTAGATCTTAGAGAAGGAAGGAAAGCTGATCAGGACTTCTGAATTCCCTAAATATGGTTACCTGCTGTAAGGCACAATTAACACATATCAACTGAATGGAAAGCAACACCAAAAATGACTTGGCCAATGAGTTATACTGGTGCAATTTGAGACAGTGAGAAATTTGTCTCATTCATTTTTATTTGCAGAGGTCTAGGGTTTAACTTTTAAGCTATGGGAGTGTGACTGGGAACATAGCTAATATACAATCAGGTTTTACTATTCATTATGTATTTTTCTTAAAAACAACAGCAATATGTTCTCTTGCTTCTTGGTGGGTATTTTTTTCATGTTAGTTAAGAATAGGAATTTCCAAATAAAACAAATTCTTCATAAAATTTTGAAGACACATTTGATATTTAGGTTTTCTTAAAGAGCTCCTATAAACCATGCAAATACTTTGCAACTCAAATATTTGGGTACCTCTGACAACCCTATCCATTTCCTTTCCTTGAAAAAACCTGCAACAGACTTTAAAAGGCTAAGCTGATAAAATAATTCATCATCTGTGGAAAACTGTAAAGCACCCTTTTCTTTTTATATCTATTCTCCAGAGGTATTTGAAGACAATTGTATTCTGGTCTGTATTCTCAAAAAGTAAGCATGCTTGTACAAGCTCCCCTCAGGTGAACGAGCAGCTTTTTCTTTTATTGACTCTTAGTCGTTAGTGAAAGACTAAAGTACAGTAATACTTAAAAAATTATTTTATTAGAAACCACCAAATATTTAAACAAATACGATCTTTGTTCTTATCTCTACAGGCTAAAATGATCAATTTTGAATTCAAACTAGAAATTAGCATTTGGCAGCTAGCACAGATGTATCTCAGTAGAACAGCAAAGCCGTATTTTTTTTTTTTTTTGCCTCTTTTTAGCACATAGCTCAATCTTTTCCTCAGGACTTGATCAGCATTTGTTTGAAGTAAACTACCAGTACACAGTAACTACAAATGACATCTAAACTACACATGGGGCAAAGAAAAAAAAAATCCCTCTAAGCTTATATGGTGCTTTTCATGGCAGTGAGTCCCTAGGAGGTTGGTAATAAGCTATTAGACAAGGATGCCCCAGTGCTCTGGTACAGAGTTTGGTTGTTTGAGTTTAAACAAACTTCGAAAATGGAATATTTCAAACACTGCTATGAAGTGAATTCCAGATCTGGGGTTCAAAAAACTTTTCCACCTTTTTAACAATGGATTTATAAAACAGTGTACATTGTACATTTCAGAACAGGAGATCTGCTCATGCAGCCTATCATTTTGATAACTAAAAGGAAGTTTGGGGAAATAAATGGATCACAAATTGTACTCTCTTGAAAGGCTTCTCTGTGTCTTTTTTCCTAGAAATCTCTCACTCTAACATACCTAGGGGTATTAAAAAGACCTTAAAGTATTATTCAGATAAATGAGTATTTCAGAGAGAGTATATTGATAGCTTGGATAATGGTGACCCATGTTAAAATAGCAGCTAAAACCCTTCTAATTAGAAAAATTCTTGTATATGTTGTATCTTTCTATTTGGAAGCTTATAAAAGAACATGTTGGTAATATCAAATTTGCAAACAGAAATTATTTTCAACATTAGTGGGCAACCACAATTTCCAAGTTGAATGGTAGATAATATCCTAATCAAACATGCTGTAACCCAGTAGATTCTTCTGCTGCTAATCTGGACTAAGCACTAAAACCCTGGGAATTACCAGATGCCTCTGGAAGATATGATTCACTGAATCAAAAACTGAAGAAAAAATTAAAATGTTAAGCAGTTACTGGAAGAAGGAATTCTCACCTGAAACCTCAGCTAACACTTTCAACTTCTGTTTTCTACCTGATGATCACATACTAGAATGGACTTAATCAAATCTCACTGACTGGGTAATAGTCTACACATATCCACAGATAATATGTTGTGTGATGAAAATGCCTCTCACAACATTACCATAGTTCTCCAAGCAGAACGTTCCTAATGAGACTCACACAAATCTTGTCTCATTTCTTGGTTCTGTTGTTTATTTTGACATTGATATTCAATTCACCTCATGGTTTAAAGTCAGAGAATAAAAAGAGAAGATGGCAGAAAAATTATCAGAGACTTAAAGAATCAGAAAGAATTGTGTTGAAAATAAAAATAATATTTTCCAGTGCTTTGAAATCAAAACTGTGTTGGTTTTTCAGAAATAAAACCAAAAACTCCTGGCTGTTACTACCAACCAAAGCACAGTCAATTGAGTGCATGCTTTGGGAGCTTGGTTCTGGCTTTGCAAGTGCAAGGCAACAGCAGAGTTTTCATGACATTGCAACTTACAAGTATGACAGCTGAGGTTCCCTTTGCTGCCCTGAGCAAGGGTTCACATGACTGGAAATAAAAATGATAGCAGGTGGCATCTGATGGCTGAGAACTTCCATCATGTGAATGGAAAACCTAATTACAGTCGCCTAGAGACCAGTCTCACTGCTGTCTGCTCCCAGTCTAGCAGATGTACCAGAATTTAGAAACAATTTATTAAGTGGCACAATTTGCAGCTAATGTGATTTACAATGGTAAAAGAGGAACACACCCCAGATAGCTGAGCATTTTTCAAAATGAGCTGTTGTTCAGCATGTAGTAATTAAAGGAGAATTGTCAAACCTTTTATTAAAATATACTGTGGTTTAATTTTTTTCATTTACTTGGAGTTCTTAAAACTATTTCCAAAATATAGTATTGATTTCAAATAATATTCCAACAATTCTGAGACATGTTCATTCCTGGAATGCCTTTAAGAATTTCTTACTAAGATTCTTTTTAATTTATATTATTTTTTGGTAATTTTTGACTAATTACATGTCATTACTGAAGTAATTTCTACCTTACCACATCTCAAAGCTTTTCAGTGTATTTTTAAATTTTGATTTCAGACACTT